TAAACCTACCCTGAAGAACCCTTCACCCTAAGAGACCCCTAATTCATGGGCTTGTCACGCTTAGAGCCTGAACGACTTCGGATGTTGCATGCCTGAGCCCTATCGCCGCCTCCTTTCGAACCATTTGAGAGGAATAATTTTTTTTGGGTAGTTTCTATTTTGGGAAATACCACGTCAACTTTCTTGTAGGTTCCGATGCTTAGCAGGACTTTTACCCAAGCAAGTGATATGGGCATTTCTAATTTTGAGAGAGCCCCATAATAGGGACTGAAGGGGCTTATAAGTGGGTTGTAAGTACAGTTATAATAATTGGTTAATACGTACCACGAACCTCCAAGTAAACCCTATAAACCCTATAAACCCTATAAACCCTATAAACCCTATAAACCCTATAAACCCTATGAACCCTATAAACCCTCTAAACCCTATAGACCCTATAGACCCTATAGACCCTATAAACCCTATAAACCCTATAAACCCTCTAACCCTATAGACCTATAAACCCTATAAACCCTATATAGACCCTATAAACCCTATAAACCCTAAACCTCCTATAGACCCTATAAACCCTATAAACCCTATAAACCCTCTAAACCCTAAACCCTAAACCCCCTTCAGTCTCTGGCCAGCAGGCCGCCAAGACGCCCGGCAGCGCCACGGCGCGCGGACTCCGGCCATGGCTGTGCGGGTGGTTCTCGAGCTGCCTCTTCGCGTTTAGGGTTCAGGGTTTGTAGGGTCTAGGTTTTAGGGTTTAGGGTTTAGGGTTTAGGGTTTAGGGGCTTATAGGGTTTTTAGGGTTTATAGGGTTTATAGGGTTTAGAGGGTTTATAGGATTTATAGGGTTTATAGGGTTTATAGGGTTTATAGGGTTTAGAGGGTTTAGAGGGTTTATAGGGTTTAGGTGTTAGGGTTTGGGGTTTAGGGGCTTCAGGTTGAGGGTTTAGGGGCTCCAGGGTTTTGGGTGTAGGGGCTTTAGGGTTTAGGCTCCCGAGTGTGTTGGGGGTTTAGGATTCTGCGTAAACCCCTTGGCAACCTAGGCCCATGGAGATGTTTTTTGCGCTTGCTGTTGAAACGGACCCGACCCTCTAAGCCAAAAACCCTTAAGCGCCCTAGCCCTAAAGCTTGAACCCCTAAAGCCCTAAAGCCCTAAACCCCGAGAACCCTAAACCCTAAACCCTAAATAACCCTAAACCCCGAACCCTGAACACTACCCCCTCAGGATTAACCCCTCAGCCTCCTAAACCCTAAACCCCCTGGAACCCTAAACCCAAAACCCCAAACCCAAAACCCAAAGCCCAAAGCCCAAAGCCCAGGCCCTTGCCTGCCCTGCCAAAGCGTGCTTCAAAGCGGTCGGCCGGCTGTGGGCAGCGGTAGCAGTTGAGTGGGTTTTTAGGGTTTAGGGTTTGGGGTTTAGAGTTTTAGGGCTGTGGGTTGTGGAAATTTAGGGTTTTTCGGGGAACCACCCAGAGTAATCCGGTACCACGCCGCAGGGTAGGTATTGCGAACCCTCGCCAAAGGCAAGGTCCAGGGTTTGTGAAGGCACACTAGGCCTAAACCCTAAACCCTAAACCCTAGAAATCCCGAGCTGCAGGAAGATTTCCCATGGAAAGAGAGCGCTCCGGCGACGCGTGAAAAAGCGAGACATCTCAGGATTTCGGGCTTGAGTGGTTAGGGGTTTAGGGTTTAGGGTTAGAGGTTTCGGAATTGAGGGTATTATATACTGGTTGAGAGTTTAGGGTTGGGGTTTTTGGGTTCAGGGTTTCGTAGCTAGGTTTCCTATGTGGCGAGTTCTCCTAAACCCTAAAAATTAAAACCTAAACCCTAAACCCTAAACCCTAAGCCCTAAACCCTAAGCCCTAAACCCTAAACCCTAAACCCTTGTTGGGGCTACTTCTGCAACACGGCCCGCGATCAGGGCGCCCACCAGTGCAACTGACCATGTGGGAGAGGGGTGTCCGGAGAGGTAACTTATTCCGAGAGCTCCCAACAGGGACCTTCCTCCTAAACCCTAAACCCTAAACCCGCCTAAGCCCGCCTAAACCCTAAACCCTAAACCCTAAACCCTAAACCCCTAACCCCTAAACCCTAAACCCTAAACCCTAAACCCTAAACCCTAAACCTTAAACCCTACCCCCGCCATGTGCCTGAAACCCTAAACCCCAAACCCTAAACCCTTAACCCTAAACCCTAAACCCTAAACCCTGAGCAACCCCCGCCATGCCGACATGCCTGAGTTGGCAGGCCTCCTGCAAAGTGCCGGAAGTAGCTGGCTGTCGATACTACTGACTGCCGGCAGACCCAAGACTGGGGGGACTGTCTAGGGCTTAAGTTTTGGTTGCAGGTGTTTGGGGTTCAGGGTTTAGGGTTGAGGGTTTACGGTTTAGGGTTTAGGGCTTGGGCTTCGGGATTTAGGGTGTAGGGTTTTGGGTTTAGGGTACGTACTGACTGCTGGCAGACCCAGGATTCCAGGATTCGGGGTTGAGGGGACCTGTCCAGGGTTGAGAGTTTAGGGTTCAGGGTTTAGGGGTTAGGGTTTGGGCTTCAGGATTGAGGGTTGAGGGTTTTGGGTTGGTAGATTCGGAGTTGAGGGACTGTCTAGGGTTGAGAGTTTCGAGTTCAGGGTTTGGGGATTAGGGTGTCGGGTTTCGGGTTTCGGGTTCAGGGTTTTGGGTTTAGGGTTCAGGGTTGATGAAGTTTGGTACCTGTTTGAAACTCGGACGCGCTATGCTGCCCTCACTCCCTTTAGAGGCATAGCAGCCAAATCAAAAAGTGGGCACAAACGGCTGGTGGGTTAGCAAAGAGTGTTTGTAGGGCGCTTTGCACGGTCAGTGGGCTGATCGTGGGCCTCTAGCTGGTAGAGCTGGTACGGTTGTTGGGCGTTTCGGGGTTTTGGGTCTGGTTACAGGTGTCTAGGAGGCGTACGGGGGTTTATACGCAGGGTCTCCGGCTCGTTTTGTTGTTTTTTGGTGTTTTTTTTTCTGGGTGTTTAGGGTTCTTCCTGAGGGTTTCTCCCCGTACTCCCGATTCCATGTGTAGCCACGGACATCCCTGTGTGGGCCGAGTTTGCACGCTTAAGTAGAGAGAGAGAGAGAGAGAGAGAGAGAGAGAGAGAGCTGCTTACACGATTCCACTCCCCCCCCCCCCCCCCGCCCCTTTTTTTTGCGTTTGGGGGGGGCGGGGGGGAGGGATGTCTACTTCTGTCTTCTTGAAGACCCTAGTTCTCGCAGGGCTTGCTATATGGCCGGGCTTAGCGGGTTTTAAACATCACATTTCAGGGGGTTCGGTTTCAAGTTTAACATGTACACCGGCTCCTGCTGCGAAGAAGAAAGAAGCAGAAGAGAAGAAAGAAAAGAAAAAAACACAGAAGAGAGATGACAAGAAGACCAATGGCGAGTTCATCATCCGGGTGGGCCACAGCCTGAGTTGTTTCAGTTTTGCATCACCCTGCTGTAGAGCTCTAAATGTGGGTGTTTCCCGATCCCTTACTGCAAGGCCCAACAAGGCGATCGTCGTCAACTTTGGCCGTCGCGACCTCGTTCTTAAGCCCTAAACCCTATAAATCTTCATGAGCCCGGGGCACTGAACAGGTGCCAAGGGTTGGGCACCGAACAGGTGCCAAGGGTTGAGCGCCGAACAGGTGCCGGGTTGAGCACCGAACAGGTGCCAAGGGTTGGGCACCGAACAGGTGCCAAGGGTTGGGTTTAGGCCCAAGCACCTTTTACAATGCAAAACCTTAGACCCGGAACCTTGAGTGCTTGCAGAAAGCCCTAAGCCCCTTAACCCTAAATTTAAATCCAGAACCCTAAACGCTGTAATGGAGAGCAGATCTTACTGTCCCAGTGGCCCGTTTGCTCTTTTTGGATCCTGAGTTCCTTTATGGGAATCTGATAGACGTAACACCGAATGTCAAAAGGGTACCCTTCTTAAGCGCGAATACTTTGCACACTCTTGAGTGTTGGGCTTAAGCGCTGGAGTTCTTGTGGATTGAGGGTTTTGCATAGTGGGTTCAGGATTTTTGTTGTCAAGGTTTGAGTTGCTGTCAACGTAAAATGTCGGGTTTAGGGCAGATTCTAGGGCTTGGGGCATAGGATTCAAGCCGGATGGCTTTCAGAAACCTTTTTTTAGCCCTGAAATCCCTGAAGCACCTGAACCCTGACCCTATAATAATCGTTGGCTTGATCCTCAATCCCGGACCCTGTTTGATGGTAGGGATGATCTGTTGAGCCAAGGGGTTGCGTGAACCTTTCGCTCACCGGGCCTGAGGCAGTGTCGCACCATTGTCGTTGTCAAGAACATTTGCCTGATTCAGACCGGTTCCCAGTGTGCTTTGATCGTCTTTGATGAGCACTTTCAGTTCGGTTGACATGATGACTGATGAGCACTTTGACGTGAGCTGTCTGTTTGTCTGCAATGACCAGTGTTGACTCAAGCTCAGCACGCGCCCGTCGTCATTTCAATGTCATTGAATTATGTTTCTAGTCCAGTCAATTGTGGCTACCCAACATGATGTCATGAGTGACAGGTGCGTTGCTGCAGCTAGGAAGACAACAGTCTGTCAGTCACAGCACAGAAGCACACCCACTACCGTACCTGAAACCTTTGAGGCTGTGGACCATCTCAGCAGGGTCTGCCGCCACTGCCGCCGCCCGGGCCGCCGCCCGGACCGCCGCCCAGCGGACGGGTCCCGGTCATTGGCAGTGGCGAGAAGGAGGAGGTCAGCGGCGGGAAAGGTAACAAAATTTAATGTGCCCCGCCCCTGAACCCAGCCGTCACTGAACCACCTGATCTGTCAGGGCTTCAGGGTTTCAGGGCTTCCGGGTTTCAGGGTTTTCGGGGTCAGCGGACGTAGACTTGCAATAACAGCTGTCTCTCAGTCTCAGAGATAATACTGGCTTGCTGGGCCTTAGTCTGTGCATTGTTTTCTTGGTCGGTTTCGGACGTATGAACTTAAACTTGAAGCTTGTTCCTAAACATGCCCCTTTGTTCTTGTGAGGACAAGGATGCGGAGCCTCTTTCAAGAACCAAGAAGAAGCACGCGCAGAAGCCATTTCAACAACGACCTGGCCAAAAGAAGACGAATGCAGCAGCGAAAAAATTTAGTGACGATGCTCGAAGAAGCCTATGACTGGGAGTGTGCAGAATTTCACGACTGGGACAGGCCGCTGAAGGATGGATACCTCGAGGTAGAGTCCCAGCTGGAAGCAAAGGAGAAGGAGCTCAATACCCTGAAGGCTCAGCTGGCGGAGAGGAATTCTGACCTTGTCCGTGTGCGGAAGGATCGCGACGCCAAGCAGAAGGAGCTCAGCCGCCTGGACGCCCGGCATTCGGAGGCACTGTTAGTGCTGTCGAGAGAGCACGATGCGGCGATGCAGAAGCAGAAGCTCATGACACAGAACCAGGTCTCCGTCATGAACAAAGTTTTGGAAGAGCACAAGGCCGAGATCACCTCTTTCACGGCAGCCAGGCAGAAGGAGAATCGCGAGCTCCAGTCGGTCCGATTGGGGGCCACTGCTGATCGTATGGGCTCTGAGATCTCTGCCGTCGTCCGCTCCGCCAACTACAATCGCGTTGGGCCGGACGGCGATGTCAGCGGCTCCTGATGATTGGTGGCCACTTGTCCTTGTCGTGGTTTAAGCCGTTGTTGAGTGCACTGTTGAGCTTATGATGATGTTGCTGTTGTGCTATTCCCCTTCCAACAGGCAGGCACGCTCCTTCCTTTGCACTGGCCCTGGATCGTGGCGCTGCTGGCCTGCTGGCTCAGGAATCCGTTAAACCTTAGACCAGACTTGACGGCCTGGACTGTCATTGACTGATCTGTAGACTGAAGCAGCCTGAGGCGACGAGGGGACAATACCATGGATTCGGGGCGGGCTTTCGGTGGTCAGGCTTGCAGCGGTGAATGTAGGTGCCTATCATTGCGCATGACCGTCAACCCTCCCCCAAAGTTCAGTCAAACTCCCAAGCGGGGTCTTCCCGGGAGGCAGTGTGACAAGGCGCTGGCAGTTGCAAGTAGATGTACCGCCAATGGGGCTGCCATGTACAAACTCCCGTATGTATTCATTGGCTAAATCACTGAACTTGTAAACCCTAGGCCATACAACCCCGAATCCTAAATCAGAATGTTTCACCGATCGTCTAGATCGAGCAATCGCCAAGTCATACGTCGCATTGTTACATTGTTAGCTAGGGGATCCATAAATGGATACGAAACGCAGGGCCTTCTGACGTAGGCCGCTTGCATAGGGCCCAATCAACCACACAACTATATTGTCTTTATAGGAATAGAACAGGCTTTCTATAAAACGGATCCTATGGTGAGGCCTTCGTGACGTTGCAAAAACAAGGGCTCGTGCCTTCTGGATCCTGCCTCACAGTTGCGTGCCCCGAAGTTATCATGTTCTCGTTGCTTCCTTTTCTCACACCTCTGGCTTCGTAAGGCTGTGGCCTCGATGGATGCTGGCAGGGGCCTCGTTCGATTCAAGACTGGAGTCAGACGTCAGGTCAGAGAGTGCATGCTTCGCTAGGTCGCTGTGTCTGATCGCACACCGTCCCCCCTCCCCAACTTTTTTTCCGGAGCAAGCGAGTCATGGAGTGTTCTTGGTCACTGTAGCTGGGAAGCGCCTGCATCATCATGTCGTGCTTTAGGCCCCTCATCTTTGCCTTGACAGGCATATGCCAACCCGACATAGGTGGCTCTCGCTGCCTCCTTTTAAGCTTTGTCACACCTCTGCACAAGGCTGTGGCGTTGCGGCCTCGACGGATGCTGGCAGGGGGCTCACTCAGGACGGCTAGCTTGCGTGGGCTTGGAGCCGGTGATGATGTCATTGTGGGTTAGAGGACGAGGGGGCTTAATCAAGCCAGATTCAGATTTCGGTCCAGATGCTGTCATCAAACGAGACAACGCTGGTTCAGGATAGGGTTTGTGGGATTCATGCGAGCCTCTGAAGTTGGCCTCTCAAGGCCGCCAATCCACCACTGTAAGAAGCAAACAGCACCCCTCCTAAGCAAATCAAAGAGCCTCCCTCAGTTCCGAGTAGGCCTCTTTTTTTTTATCTTACTCAAGGAAAACATTGGCCATTGGCCCCCCCAGCCAGGTCGATCAGCGTGTTGAGCCTAGCCCCCCGCCTACCCAGGTCGAGCAGCGCCATGTGTGTGTTTGGCTTGGGCGTGGGACGACATCTTGTCGTCGGGACAGGTGTCCCTGAAGCAAGTCTATGCCTTTCAGTATGTCGTCAGGCGACTTCGAGAACCGCTTGCTCAGTGTCAGTGTACACCTGAAGGAGCTTGTGGCGTCTTGGGTCTGCTCATTGGTAGTGTCAGTGTTTCAAGATTGGCTTGGCGCCTGTCGAATAGGACTTGCAGTAGTATTACTACGGTGCCTGAAAATATGGCTGCTCGGTGAGTCGTTGAGTGAATGTGTTTACACATCAACAACTGGACTCTGAAACCTTGAATTGGAGGAGTCGCGGGTCCAGTGCCTGGCCAGTGTCTGTGACGAAGCATTGATCGATGAGGTCGTTCGCATCCTTCTTGAGGATTTGAAGCAGAAGCCGATCTTGGACTCAAGATCTGTCCGGCGCCGATTGAATTCAGGTGCACCGAAGTCGTCCACATATGCCGTTGCGCGAAGAAGAAGGAAAGCTGCAGATGCCATCCGTGCGACAGGCATCTATTTTCCGAAACATGTCTGCTAGCCTCTTGTCATCAGTCAACTTTCGGTCAGGCATCATGAACACCATCGGTCCGTCGAATCAGCGTCAGTCGTGTATGCAACTTTGGCACTGTCAGGTCGCAAGAACGAAGGCAATGATGGTGCCATTTTGGCGGGCACGGATCGGGCCACTGTGGATGCTGGGATGTTGGCGCAGGCTTCCAGCGCCAAGCCATTGGAATGGAACACAAGTAACGTGTCATTGCTCAACCGATGCTTATGCTGCACTTCAGAGTGTGCGTGCGCAAGTGTGTCTCTGTGTCTCTGTGATGTACTGCCGGGCACAGACCCTAAAACCCCAAACCCCTGAACCCTAGAACATGCACCTCTTTTGCAAGAACTCCGCTCAGGATGAGCGTCTGCGACGCCCCCCCCCCCTCCCCGCCATAGTCGGGTTATTTTGCAGAGGATTTTGATTACCCCAAGCAGGTAAACATTGATTCCATACCCTAAACCCTAAACACCAAACTCTCTCCTAAGCCCAAATCCAAAGCCATGTGACTCCAAAGCTCGTAAACCTGGAATCCCTTCATACATCTGATCCGCTGCAGGTGGAACCGGTGCTGGTAACAGCGGTGCAGGGGACAAGCGAGAGACAGAGAGAGAGAGAGAGAGAGACAGAGAGAGCGAGCGAGCGAGCGAGAGAGGGAGAGCGAGTGAGATGAGTACGAGATAAGTGAGAGAGAGAGGGAGAGAGAGAGAGAGAGAGAGAGAGAGAGAGAGAGAGAGAGAGAGAGCGAGAGATACGAATGCCGACATTACTTCTCGTCCACGTGTCGCGTGACGACAGTGCAATTTACCTCGTCCTCGTGTGTTTACCTTACCGGTCTATCATCTCTGGATTCACTTATGAAAATGATGTTTAGGCGTGTCGGATAGCAAGCCCTGTTTGGTGCGAGACTCGCACCAGGACAGATGTTCGTGGTCTTTAGCTGTGAGTGGAGAGACGCCATCAGAGACCCTAGTTTACTTAAATTTGAACCCTAGATCCTAAACCCTAAACCCTAAACTGCACAACCCGGGGTACTTCGGGATCCTCCAGCGAATGAGCTGCAGCAAGGGCTGGAGTGTTTAGGGTTTGAGGGTTTTAGGGTTTTAGGGTTTGGGGTTTGGGGTTTAGGGTTTGAGTGTTTAGGGTGTAGGGGAGCCAAAGAAGACTAAGCCTATGAACCCTCGGCCCGATACCCCTCCCCCCCCCCCGCCCCCCCAAAAAAAGATCAAAAAAAAACGCCCAAACCCTCAAGACGCAGTAAACGACCCTATAAAACTTACAATCCCATATGGCCCATATACTAAGCCCTAAACCCTCAACCCTATACCCTAAACCCTAAACCCTAAACCCGCGAATTGTCAATGCCCTTCGTCTATCTTAGGCGCTGATGGTCATCGGCCTGCTCTTGGGCGGCCTCTACCTGCTTGCACGGGCCGCTCGAAGGGGTTGTAGGGTTTAGGGTTTAGGGTTTAGGGTTAGGGTTTAGGGTTCAGGGTTTATAGGGTTTAGGGTTTAGGTTTAGGCTGAGTGGTTTGGAGTTCAGGTGGGTTACGGTTCAGGACCCTCAACCCGGAACCATAAACCGTAGGGCTTAGGGCTTAAGGCTACCTACTAGGCCCCTAGAGCCGGAACCAAAAAAAAAACCCTAGGGTTTAGGGTGTAGGGCTTAAGGCTACTATGGTCGGTTTTTTTGGGGCCCCAAGGCAAGACCTGAGGGTCTCCCTTTTAGTCCCTCAAGCGCGGCTGAAGATGATTTTGGAGTTTGTGCCTGAGCCCTAAAAACTAAAGCTTCCACAGCCTAAAACCCAAAAGTCTCCACAACCCTCACACCCTCTAAACCCTAAACCCTAACCCAAAACCCCTGGAACCTGAATCCCGCAAGCCGAAAAGCCCCTGGAACCGGCACGCCCCAACCCCGAAAGCCCCAAATTCCCCCAAAGGGTTTAGGGTTTAGGGTTTAGGTTTGGGGTTTAGGGGTTTAGGGTTTAGGGTTTAGGGTTTAGGGTTTAGGGTTTGGGGTTTGGGGTTTGGGGTTTAGGGAAGCCTAAGACCCTAAAGCCCCAGAGCTCTAGCGAACCCTGAATTTCCCCCAAAGCCCTCAAGCTTGAACACCCCAAACCCTGGGCCGCCAAGAGTCCTGAAAATATCCGGGCCAAGCCCTAAACCCTAAACCCTAAACCCTAAACCCTAAACCCTAAACCCTAAAAGCCTGAAGCCGCCCTTAGGACCCAGCCATGGATCTCGGCTTAGGGTTCAGGATTTACTTGTTGGTTCTTAGTAGGGAACTATCATATAATAGGGTTTAGGGTTTAGGGTCTACGGTTTAGGGTTTAGGCCCTTTTCAGAGCCAACAAGTCAAACCCCAAAGTCGCTCACACCCCTTCAGTCTCGTCAGCAAGCCTGTGTAAGTGGACCCTCAATAGAAAACCAGCCAGGCCGGTGTCATGCAGGTCTAATTATGGTTGCTGGGGTCTTGCTGGCAGAGATTTGGTGGTGGTGCTGGTTCGCTAAGACTGCAGTTCCGTTTAGAGCAATCCCCTTCAAGGTTTGTTAAGAAAGCCTTAACAAACATCCCGCCCCCAACAGGTCAAAGATCCACTAAAATCCTGACCCGGAACTTAAACACTCCAAGCGCTAAACCCTAAACCCTAAACCCTAAATCCTGTAAGCACTGGAAGGCTCAGAAGCCAGCCTACGGCCAGTCATTGGACGCGACATGCCCAGCTGTTGTTCTAGAGCAGATGGCAGGGTTTAGGGTTTGGGGTTTAGGGTTTAAGGTTTAGGGTTTAGAGTTTAGGGTTTAGGGTTTAGGGTTTGGAGTTTAGGGTTTAGGGTTTAGGGCTTAGAGAATCCGTCTGTCCCCTGTCTGCGGGCCTAGTTCGCTCCTCACAACGCGG